CATGCCTACCCCAGGTAGAGAAGATGGAAAACCAAAGACAAGAACAATAGAAACAGTGGCTGACACAACGTAAGAAGTGCATCCGAAAGGAAATTATTTGGAACAATAGAATTGGCAGGAAAAAAAATTGAAAAGCATCCGACCTCAGATGCATACTAGTTTACTAAGAGAAAAAGATGCATAGCCCAGGTGGAGAAGATGAAATTCAAAGACAAGAACAATGGAAACAGTGACTGGCACAACGTAACATAGTAACGAACGACGAAATAAACGAAGATACTTTCTGCACACTGATATTACAAATTCCTAACATGTCAATGAAGGAACTCGTACATCCATTCTGTACTACAACCATAGTTTCGAATGAACTTGAAAAAATATGTGAGTATGTGAGACTTTATTTTCAAGATATCCTATCTACTCGTCCGCCCTTAAAATTTATGGGGGCTGATCTTAGGGACCGCGATGACTTATAGGCTAGAATGAAGATGTGCCTGCCAACACAAGTCAAACTTGACCTGGATAGACCACTTAATGAGGAGGAGCTTCATATCGCTGCTAAAATGATGATTAAACTGCCAATACACGACCCCAACCTTGCTGAAAAGAAAACTCGACGCATACAAAATTTTCAAAGGCCCAACGTTGTAGATAAATCGAACCGACGGCGGACAGTCTCCGAAAAGGGTCCGCAACCGATAGCTGGATGTACTGGTGGTTTAAAGTTAAAACCCCATCTAATGATGAGATGCCAATAGAGTTGTATCTGACTGTTTAGCCATTAGTTAGTCCACTATTATTAAAAACATATAATGATGTTCTCATAGAGGAAAACTCACACGCGGCATGACGAAAGGAATCATCTCCTTAATATATAGAAAATGTGACAAGGTAGACATCTGCAACTGACGTCAAATATCGGTACTGAATGTATTTTATTAAATTGCTTGCGAAGGTTCTGACTTTGAGGTTAGCTGGGTGTTTTCCCTCCTTGGTTGGAATGGAATAGGGAGCATTTGTAAAACACAAAACGATAGTGGAAAATATATCATCAACGATTCAAACTCTAAAACTTATTGCAGTTGAAAGACGAGGTGTCGCTATCCTTTTACTTGACATGGAAAAAACGTACGCTAGAGTGAAGGGATTTTTTGTGACGACTAAAACAGATGGGGTTTGACAATTTTTTTTGTCAATGGGTCTCAATTATATACTCCTCGGTCACCGCTGCGGTGATGGTCAACAGTGACAACATATACATTTCTCATGAACTTTCTCTTGCTCAGTCACTCCGCCAAGATTGCTCCCTCACCCCATTATTGTTTGTACTTCACTTCGAAGTATTGATGGATAATATATATGAATATATGACAAAACGATGCTATTAAAAACCTAAATTTAACTAACACAGAACAGTGGAAGGATGAGGCATTGGCTGATGACTTAAATATAGCATGTAGAAATACTAAAATGAACTTAGGTGCAATTATGACAATGTTAAATGATTATTTTAGCTTGTTTGAGGCTTCAATCAATTGGAACAAGTTGGTGTTTTTCCTCCCTGAAGAGTTTCGACGAAAGGTTAATTTCGGAAAAAAGAGAGTCTCAGTTGATGCTTCTGACATATTTTTCGGTGTGCAAGTATCTTTGTCTAATAATGTTGTCTTTCAAGACATTGTGCTCGAAGAGAAAGTAGTATGCACGTTGACGAGCCGGAACAACTTAAAACAATTATCGCTTATGAGAAGAGCTCTAGTGATCTCTTTAACAGGACGTTCGGTCCTTTGGCTTACTTTAGTCATCTCTCTGTTGGATGACGAAACATACAAAAACATCAGGAAAGGCTCAACCAAGTTGCTTTGGAAACCGGAAGTTGAAGTACATGAAGGGCTTATGAAAGAAGGTCTAGGAAAGGATTGTTCCTTCCAAGATTGCAAGGTGAACTTGATATTCCACCCCCCAAAAAATTGAACCGTCTCTGTGGGTAAAGTGAACTGTTAAAGTCTTATTAGAAGACGAACGACCTTCATGGTTTACCCAAACAATGTATACATTAGTAAAGGAATGAGATATAAGAAGAGAGCAAGACGTTTTTGTATATCTGTTAATAAAATTCAATACAATAGATAAAAAAAATTCTAGAAAAACGTGCTTCATGCTCGACATAAGTTGTTTTCTGTCGATAGATTACACCCTACTATAAACGGCTCCGTTCTCAAACAGTTTTTTTGGAAAATCCTTTGATTATTGATGCTCTAAGGAGAAAACTTTTCTGCACATGATTTGGGAAATCTTCGATTGAGCTTGGGATTATAAACTTAGAGATATATGGAACAAGAATCGGCAAGGGAGGAAGACATAACAAAAACTAAGAAGAAAGTTGGGGAGACTGCGACATATAGGAGTGAGACTGTAAATATAATAAAAGCAGTACCATGGTACTGAAAGCAACTATTATCTAAGGTTGACGTTCCAACAACCAGGTGGTGGTGTGTGCCTT